CCTTTTGCACCGTTCAGAGGTGAGTCATACGACCATTACTTAGGTAATGTAGCCAAGTAACACAGTATGTTGATGGAACTTTTCCGAAACGTTCCCTATGTTGCTCTATGTTGCAAGCTGATCTACAACATTGATGAAACATTGCTTCAACGTTCTCACCTGGAATGCTGCTGCCACACTTCCACGGATGTTACTCCTATCAACATTGAGAGAATGTTGAAACTTTTGACGATATTCAAATACAACATGGTCTTTTTGGGAATTGTAAGTGCAGTTCTCCCTTTCCGCGGAATCGTCCCACACATGAATTTTAATAAATTGTCGCATGTCTCGCATTGTCTCATTAGAGGATTCAATGAACACGGACACTTATTCTTTTGTCATCATCATATTCGAGAGAGGTTCATGGGGCCAAGATGAAAAACAAACTCATATTCCCGAAAATAACCCATTCCAAGAACTCGTTGATTACATCCGATGTTATAAACGATGGTAGAGAGTCTGAGTTCTCCATTCCTCATTTTCTCATCATGAGAACCAGATGAGAAAAAGATGGACTGAAATGGTGGATCTGAAAACTATCTGATGTATCGGGCATGAAAAATATTCGATAGAGGCGGTCGAGAAGAACGCGGTGGGCTGTTTGGTTAATGCGGAAACGAACAAACGAAAGTTTTTCATGATGTGCATTTCATTTCCTCCCCCATCGCGTTCGATTCGATGCCTCTGCGTTTTAGGATTCCCCCGCCCCCCATCTACAACCCAAAAAGAGGCTCCATTTCCTTCATGATAGCCGATCTAACTGCTCCGGCTCCCTCTTTCGAGAAATGTACTCCGTCCCTAGCCATCGAACTTTTACGATGCCTCAGAGCCTCCATGATGTCCAAAAACAATGCCCCCTCCGCGATACGTAACTCCTTCAACCTGTCGTTAACCCCTTCCGACCTGGACCACGTGATTCCTCCCTCGTCTAGCCGGCTCGGGATCGTACATACCGTCACTCGTACCCCCGACCTTGTCTCCCGACACGATCGGATAGCCTACTTCAGCCTGCCCATGATGAGTTCAGTGCCAGACTTGGGAGTGTCGTTGGTCCCAACGCGAGGGACCACCGACACTTCCTCGGCCGACTCGGAGCACACCACCTATCCGACCTCATCCCTAATGTGTTCGATTCTAGCACCAGGGAACTGACCGAAAGAAACCTGAGCTCCTGAATCATTTCCCATCGCTCCCTCAAGACGCTTGACGTTCGAGTCACCGACGATCCTGAGGGCCCGCGTTTACCCTGTCCACTTCGACATGGCTTGAGCTCGTCCTGCCGACCTCTCACATGTTCCCACTCCGCCCTCCGATCCTGTGGGATTCCAGGAAGCTAGGTGGGAGTTACCGGCCGGTTGATCCGCTGAGGCAGCCGTGAACACCACAGGCCGGCAATAACAATACGGTTCAATTCGTTATTGGGGTTTCAAGTGGGAGAACGCAAGTGCTGCAGGTACCGGAGCAAGGAATACTCTGAACGGTGGGACATGACCCAAAGCGGATCATATACACATTCATCCCCTCCCGTTGCCGCTCCGATTCTCCATGCGAAGCGCTGCCAAATCGCGTTCCCGGAATAATTTTTGCATCTTGATTCCATCTTGTACCTTCCTTTCGTGGCACACAGCCGGAGTATGAAAATAGCGTTGAAGTGCTCTCTTGAAGAAATTCCATGTCGAACATGACAGCATTAGTGTCTGCACGAGGGATATTCCTGGAAATCGGAAAAAAAGGACATTACGGGCGAACCCGGAAAATCTTACCCAAAGTTTTTCTTTCCTTCCCTAAATAAAATCCGCAGTTGTAGAGTAACATGTTCTTGGAAGCGGCGCTGTAAACATGTGGCAATTTACATTCATTCGATTTATGTTGAATGCAGCTATATACACGGTTCATAACGATCCTGCGCATGGATCCAGATGGACGTTCGTGTCCTAGGAGCTAAGACGGCCGTATATTCGCTCATGAATCCTAGGATTTCACTTGTCCGGTTAATTGTCCGGTTGCCCCCCCTCCATTCGCTTTTTCAGCCATCACGGAAAGAATACACCAAGTGGAGACTGATTATGACTTTTTTTCAAAGTTTTCCCGATCATGGCAGTTTCAAAATCGGCACCAGAACACTTCGAGACACGTTGGCGAAAAATGTAAAAATCATGATTAATACATAATGGTAATAAGGTGAACCATCTCAAGAGCACTGGGAAGGGCAAGAGGACATCTCGTTGCGAGAGGTCTGTAATTAGCCAAATTCCGAATGTCTGCATTTTGTACCTGAATCGTGTAATTTTAACATTACCTACTTTTGAAATATGAGATTAAATCAATTTGTTTTTCCTGGGAGGAATTTCAATGACAATCACTTCTCTCTGCCAGGGACAATACATGCTGTTTATATTCAGAAAGCAGCCGGGGTTCATTACGTACAAGACTTCCCAAATTATAAACGGAAGTTTCGTTGGATGGTGCAGGCTCGGAGGACGAAAATCACGTCAGTGAAAGCGGGTGAGACCCAGATAGGCTGGTTCGTATCTGTCACATCCTTCGTACCTTTGATTCTCCTCCAATTGAAGTTTCTAGCTCGTCGTGACAGCGGCTCAACAGAGGTTCTTTCTCGATCTGCCAAGAGAAGTGTTGGAAGCGTGCTGTATCTATTTATATCTATATCTATTTAATTTCCGAATATTCACATTTTTGAGTGATTTGAAAAAAAAAGCCATTCAAATTTCAATGAGAGAAATGAAGCTTTAAGAATGGGAAGAAAAAGATACATTAGCAATGAGATCAACATTTAACGGTTCCAAATTGCTAACATGCATTGCAATTTTTTTTGCACCCCTGCCCCAGTGGTGCAATGCACCTTTTGGCTCAAAATCGGCTCACGATCCAAAATTTCTCCAAAACAGCATGGATTGAATTTTGAGATGATCGAGCATAGACCATCATTGCAATGGTGCAATGCATTGTAACGGGACAATGCATGGCTCCGAGTATTGTGCAAAAAGCAGAGACCCAAACAGCATGTTCAAGTTAATTTTACGTAAATTGAATGTAAATTTTTGTCCATTTTATAACATTTTTACGCAAACCATTGTCAAGATAATGCCAACATGTTTGCATAAATGTCACCTCTGTGATATGTAAACGGTGATATAAAATTAACGTCAATTTTACGTAAAATTGACATTCCCGTTTGCATTCCTAACAGTATTTTTACATTGATTTTACGTAAGATTTATGTTGATTTCCCTCTAGCATGCATGTGTCTTTAACGAGCCAATCAGCACCTTTGAAAAGAATTGATATACTGTATCTCCCATTCCTTTCCATACTTCAGAACTCAAGAGTGGTTGGATGAGTACACTCATTTTCATCAGCACTCAAGAGTACCAAAACGATCTACCACTTCCCCCTCCCGTACTGAAACCTCAAGAGGAGGAAAAGATGTTCAAGGAGCTCTCTCCCATTTAGGGTTGAGAAGTTTTAGTACTTGTAGAGCTGGGTTTTTTTTTTTTTTTTTTTTTTTTTTTTTTTTTTTTTTTTTTGACTATCCTAGTTGCTTACTGTCTAGTACCTAATGTCAACATTGCCCCCCACCTTTTTGCCTGTCCATGGAAGCATCTAGTTTCTTCTTAAAGATAACTCCTTGGTGTGACTTTTTTTTTGGTGATGAGTATATAATTAACAGTGGGTTGTTGAGTCCAGGCAAGGGAATCTAATACCAAAAATGTATATCAGTCCATGTTATAACACTTCCTGACAAGGTCTCAGCCAGATTATCTTCCGGTACTCTATCCATACATTTCTTTCTGCTCTGTCATTGTGACTCATGTTACTACAAGGTGGACCATTTAAGTATTTACAGTTTTGTTTGGCGATAGCGTGTGTAAATTTTTACAGATTTCAATAATATTTTAACTCCAAGTAATGCTGATGTAATAATTTTATTTGGCCAATTTTCATTGAGTTCTGCCACTAGGTTTTTGAATAATTCAATTTTTACTGTAACTTGAAACTTTGGCATATGTGTGTTGACTTTTTTAATCAAATACTGATGCAAAATTTGTGAAAAATTCAATTGATAATTGTGACTCATATGTTGTGTATTTGTGCTGTTTATTAAGCCCATTGTCTGTTTGTTTGAAATTTACAAATTTTTTCGTTTTTTGATGACATTTTCGGTGAATGAATGGGCAAAGGTTACTGCTTTATACAAATGGACAAAAAGCCCCAAGATTGTATCTTGAGCACATTACTAAAAATAGTGGTTTTCATGTTGAAGCATATAACTCATGAACAAAGCATTTCCAAATATTGTGAAATTTGGCCAAATACAATTCCAAGGTCAGCACTACTTTGAGATTAAATATGATTGAAATTGGTAAAAATTAAGTTATAATAAATAAATAATTATAATTAGTTAAGTTATAGCCAAAAATATATATATAAAAACATTAATGGGCCACACAATACTTCAGCATAGCCACATCATACCTGGTGTCAGGGTTAAATGATTCAAAATGCAATTAGGACCAACCTGCAATGATGCTGAGTGCTATGAATGAAGGGATGTGTAAATAATACATGCTTGAGATAAAGAATCCATCTAATATTCAGCATGGCTCAATGTTTCAAAGCATATTATTCCACTTCTATTGGAAGGAACACATGGAAGGGTTCATCCAATGAATAGATTCATTAAGGTGGGTCTATGTTCCTGTATTAATAAATGTGACTTAGTATATCATAGTCACTTGGAATGAATAATGCCAAGGAGGAATTCTTACCAAGAACTTCAAAATGGGCAAAATTTACAATTCATATCTTTCTTGGCAATTCTTGCCCTACAAGAACTGAATGAAGGTACAAACTCTCAATAACTTGATTAATCAATTTCTATTGTTTGAGTAACTCTCAAACCTTCTAAAGTGCAACTTTGTCATACTTTTCCTTTTTTATTGATCCATCATATTGAAGAGGCTACATTCCTCATCATATGCTGTATCAGAATTATTATATAAAAGATTAATGTCAGGCAAACAAAGATTAATACAACAACTTAAATAGCTATCTGCATTTAGAAATATCACAGAGAAAGAAACCTAAAATATGACTAGGCTGTGAATTCAACAAAGACATTTAGTTTCTTTCTTTCTACTCTTTTTATAAACACACTTTCACATAAACCCCATTATCTCCCTTCAAGTAATGATAACATCAGAATTAGATAGTGAAAAAATATAAAACAAAAGATTTGGAGACTTTGCAAACATTTGAGCAATGCTTCAACCATATCAGGGAGGAACAAATTGTATCTGAACCAAAGATGTGAGGTATGAATCCCATGAGCCAAGTTATATATTCCTGATGACACGAGATGCACCAGCAAATATATCAAATCAATACTGACATTAGAATTTTAAATTTTGGATAACCTTTGGATAACTTACATGTAGAAGGAAGATTTATGAACTATTCCAAATCTATAGGTATTATTTGCTATGGGCCAAATATGCACCAAAGTGACTTATGGTCTTAGTGTTATAATCAGTTGTGAAAATGCATATAATTTGCAGCCTTTCATATCTGTGACTAATCCTCAGGCATATCCCAAGGTGTTCCAGCCTACTTTTTCTGCTAGTGTCATGTGCAAAGGCACAGGATTTCAGCTCTGGGAGCTAGGATTTACTCATGAGAGGGTTTGATTGCAGAGGGACATGTCGAGAAATGATCGAGGAAAATTGTTCTTTACTTGAAAATGAATACAACATTTCTAGAAAACATGCCTCTTCTGGTCATCCACACTTGGGTGGGTAGCTGTCTTCATGAATAGCTTAAGAACTTAGCTAACCCTGTTTTGATTTACACATAGAGAACCATGCCATGCACTGGCATATAAATACATACATTATATACCTTTAAAAAAATTAAACAAAGTCACTTGCATGCATTCCATTGTGATTGATTCATAACTATTATGCCATAAAACAATAACTTGTTCTCCTTAGGGAAATACATAGGGCTTTCCTTCAAGTCACCATACCATTCATTAATGAATGCCTGCAATGGGTTTCTTTGATTGCACAAATAATATGATGAGTGAGACAATCAAGCATGTGGGTATGACAAGGCTTCTCAGAAGAAAGGCATGATTACTGAAAGCCTACATACTCTTTGGAGTCATTACTTCATGTTGGACCATCATCCCTTCATATAATAAGGTCTCACCTTACAAAAAAAGTCAAGAATGTCAAAATGCAGAATGAAAATTGGAGAAACCACATGTCTTGGTCAAAACAGTGCTTGCTTTGACCAAGACAAGTGGTTTGTTTCTCTGTACAGGCCTCTTTTGTGCATAGACTATTATGGAGTTTCAATGTTGAATATGCACATGAGAATGTCAAATGTGTTTGTACATTGCAAGTGAAATCCCGTGCAGAGTACCCTGCATTTCCACTTTTGACTCAAGTCAAAAGTGATGCAAGGAAAATCAAATGAGACTTGTTGAATGCTGAACTATAGAGAAAGCATGTTAATGTAAGGTAATTCAAATGCAACAGAGATACATCATGCCATACCCCTTCACCTACCTTCTCATTGTTTTTCCAATGCTCCTTACTCTTTGTCCAACTTCTAGCATTCAAGGAATGATAGAAAAATAATGTATTAAAAAAGCCTCCATCAAGGATAAAAGTTATACCATAGCATGAAAATGACAAGGCCCTGAAAGCATTAGGGTGCTTCCAGGGAAATACCAAATTAATTTCCTTCCCCCCCTTCCTTTGTAGAAGGTAGTTGTGATGCATGAAAAATTATTCATAAAAGCATCATTCAGGGAATCAGGAGTCACTGGGAACATGGATTTGCTTTGACAGAATAGGACAGTGGAGCAGCCTAAAAGCCATGACTGTGCAATGGATGAATGAGCATGGCATACAATGAACTCACCATTTAATCTACCATTCCTCACTTCAGAGTGTAGGAAGTGAAGGAAAATTATTAGATTCAACTTTGATTCCCCAGTTCAATATGGAGTGTATGTTTCATGAAATCCCATGCAACATAAAGAAGCTAAAATGCAACTCCACAAAGTATTCTGAAAAAGGTCTTGTCTGAATCCATCCCTTGGTTTCTTTGATTTGTCCAGTCAATTATGAAAAGCTTTTACAGAGTGACATCATCACAGAGATGATGTCAAGTTTTAGGACAACCTTAGCTTGTATGTTGTCCCATTTATGCTTCTATATACTTCCCCCCATGTCACCAAAAAAAAACAGAATTTGGCAGCCCTCCTTCAATTGCAGGAGGTATCCCACTCTGTTGACAAACTCTGACTAAGACTACCTATGCTATTGGCATGCATATTTGGAACTAAGAACTTTCAGTCCTTACAAGACACATCAAAAGAGGCACAATAATCGTGTCTTGTGCAAGAGCATCTGACAACTTTCTTTAAAGTCCAGCAAGCCAAAAATCCCCTTTTCTTTGCCAGACTTTTGACTTTCTTGCATCCACCATGTGTGTGTGTGTGTGTGTGTGTGTGTGTGTGTGTGGGTGTGTGTGTGTGTGTGTGTGTGTGGGTGTGTGTGTGTCTGAAGGACTTTTTCCTCACAAAAATCCGCCTAAAAATTCATGAAATCCGTGAATCAAGCTAAAGTGTGTGTGTGTGTGTGTGTGTGTGTGTGTGTGTGTGTGTGCACAAAAGTGCATGTGTGTACATGTATGCACACACACACCACACATACCATGATGGGAAACTCACCCCAGTCTTCTTCTTCATCTAGGAAGGTATGGGTAAGGAAGGGATATTTCTCCAAGCGAGTGCACAAGTCCTCTACCATGGAAAACCAAAAAGTTTCATGCAACATACATGCACTACTTAAAAATGAATATGAAATCAGATCCTTTAACTTAAAAAAAGGAAAATAAAAAATGAAATGATTAAATTAAATCAAGGAGAAAGCAAATTTCAACTCAAATCCCAAGAGTCCTTTCCATGCATTGGGAATTAATTTTAATCCCTTCTTCAGGAGGATTACCAGTACTTCAAGAAACTTATTCTCACAATGGCAGTCAACATGGCATGTGGTTAAACATTCTTTCAAAGAAAACTCTAAACTGCCTCACTTGTTCTAATTACACTGATGTAATTAGTCAAGGAGAAGTAGAGGACCCTGAGAGACTTACCACTTGGGGGAAAATCAGGAGGCGTTCTTATCACAGTGGGGAAAGAAGGCACACTTCGAACCAGGGAAGAGGAACTGAGAGATGTGGTAACAGCATTTTGTTTCGCTACAATACACAGAACAACATAAACCACCAACGGACACGTGATCTCAACTCAAAAGAAGAACAGAAAAAGAAAATAAGGACTGGACACAATGAAGACTGAGAAGGAAACAATGAAAAAACAAGAATGTGGACAATGGGGATCAAGAGTGATTCTGACCATTCAGCATTTTTCAGTACCCTATGTCCTGCAGAGAAAAATGGCTTGGAGACTTTTGACATTGGAGGAATTCCTAAGCATAAAGTATCATTGCAATAGTTTGAGCAAAACTGTTGAGCAAACATGTCATGTATAAATTCCATGATGGACAAACCATTTATGGACAAACCATATCCACTTTTGCAAGTGGATATATACAGAAAGTAGGTACATAAATACCAAGGAAGCATTAAAAAAAAGACATACTTTCAAATCTAGATCTTAGACACTTAAGGCTTGTTAGATGTCTTTTGGAAATATACACACCTATTGATACATATTGTGTGGTCTAAAATTTTCCAGATAAACTTAGCATCAAACAATAGGTGTCTGTACAATTCTTGTGGGAATGAAGGAGCAGCAAAAAAAAAGCAAAAGAATGTATAAGAAGTCACTTATGGCATGGCTATCTCCACTTCCAGTAAAGTTTTGTAACACATTTCAGCAACTGACTTCCAACCTCCAGCGAAGTAAGTACCAAAAACTGATTGATGGATTTCTCAAATCTCTCAGACTATAAAAGTGTTGGTAACAGATCATTATATGACAGCATCCATGAGGCACATCAATTACAATGAACAGGTACATTACATCATTACTGAGGCTTTAGCATTTGGCATTTGACCATTATGGTGTTCATGCATCATCACAAGTCATACATGTGTGACAGAGTTGACCAGATGACACTGGGATTTAATGTTCCAACATATGGGTCACTTTAGATGGTGTACATTTCATGAATTGATTTTTATATTGAGTCAGAATGGCCCATTGTAACAGTTGAATGCTGTTTTGAAAAGGAGTTCAAATGGTATTGAAACTTTTTCAATACTCAGTGTTTATGTAATATGGAATGAAAATACTGTTCTGGTAACAGTAACTTAGGCTAGCATTCCCTGATGAATCAAGTCAGATTGGCAAAAAAAAACCTGACCTAACTTTCCATATAAATATAAATATGTGAGTAAGCCCAGTCCAGTCTTGGGCTTTGTTTCACCAAAGAGTGCTTCACTGATCACCTCATTAGAAAATATACATCTGCATTGGACATCACTATTGACCTCTAGATTAGTTTTTTCCTAAAAAGTAATAACAAAAATAAACAATAGGAGAGTATCCTTTTTGGTATGAAATTCACAAAAAATGAACTGTGTATCTTGCCCAATATGCATCAGCATATTAACTTCTGCAGTAATTATGAAGGTCCTTTTTCAAGAAATCAACTCTCATTGGAAGAGGAAATACTCAGAAAGATGGACAGAAAAGCAGACAGAACAAAACTATAAGCGTCCTCTTGACTTTTTGGAATGGACTCCCATACCAAAAGCATCATTCATCCGAGATTTTTGACCCGAACTCATTTTCATTATTCAAGAATAAAATGTACTCTTAAAAAATATGTTACTAGTGGAGTCTCCATGGCTGTTTCTGGTGACTTGGAACACAAGCTTTTAGTTAATATTAATGAGATTATCATAATTCTCTACTGTTATGTGGCTCATACCTATGAAATAGTTCCACTTCCGAGTCACCAGAAAAGCTTTCTATAAGGGATGATAAACAAACTCTATCACTCCCATAAGTCATATAACAAAGACTCCTTTTGGAACTACAATTGCTTCAATTTTAGACCCTTCACACTGTTTTTCTCGCAATGTTATGGACTTTGTCAGACCACACCTGACAGTCGACTGCAAAAGGTTAAAGCAATCTCCTCTGAATTCCCAGGGGCTGGGTAGATTTGGCCCGGTGATTTGTGATATAAAAAAGATCACAAGTCCCTCACAGGTTCATTTGGGTACCCATCAACACCATGGTTACTGCTGCATTGACTTCATCTAGGCCATCATAGTGCCCTCCATGAAGCTTGTTCATCATGATCTGTTTCAATTAATGGATCCAATATGTTTCAATTCAATCAATCAGGAGAATGAATGAAGGGGGCTATGCAAAATAGCTAAGCTAAAACAGTAACCACACTCTGCTTGAGAGGGTGCTTCTGGCATGAAAATGAACAACGCAAATTCTCCAGACTTGAGTCCCTATGACTTCTGTCTGTTTTTAGGCACAAAGAATGACTTGAGTGGGAAATGCTATGACAGTCCAGATGAAGTCAATGTAGCAGTGACCAAGGCATTGAAGGAAATTCACAAAAATGGGCTCTAGGTGGGACTGAAAAGATTTTGGATAGCTGAACCAATTGTATTCAAAGGAGATTACTTCAGGTCATGAAGCATTGTATGATCAAATTGAGTCTTTTTTTTTTCCATAGGCAACAAGATGACAGAACTTTTTGACTATCCCTTATATAAGATAAATGAAAATGCCTAATAACAGGAAAACAGCATGAAAAATAATAACTATGGAACAGAAAGTTGTTTGCTTCACCTGGATTGTTCATGCATTACTCTGCACTGATTTTTGCAATCACTCCATACAGTGAAAAGAATAACCTCTATTGAACAACAGACATGAGAGCTCCAGGTTATATGCAGACAAGAGAGTGGCCCATCCTTATTTTTTAAAGATCTATCATGCTCCCCTCACATCAAAGCCCTGGCATTTATGCAGCCCTTAAGATCCCTTCCATTCACATGGTCTCTATGAGTTAGCATTTGCATGCCAAATCATACAATCCATTTCAATGCCATCATCATGCTAGGTCTGTATGATCTCGTATCACATTCTAGTATTTCTATTGATGCACCATGCATGTGATGGGATGGAGGAAGAGGGGAATGGGTACCATGCCATCATGAAAAAAGACAGAGAAAGAGAGAAAGAGGAAGAGAGAGAAAGAGAGAAAGAAAGAGAAAGAGAGAGATCCCTCACCAGGAGACTCGGGCGTGTTTCCCAGACCACCAGCTTCCATACGTAAATCTGCATGACAGGGCAAGATGAAAACGAGAAGAGAAAGAGTTGGCATGAAAAAGGGGAAGTGAAAAAGAAGCAAAAGAGGAAGAGTGAGGGAAGGAAGAATGAGTATTAAAGCAGAAAGAGATTCATAGATAAATGAGAATTGAGGGTGAAAAGGAGCCAGAAATGGAGATGGGAGGAGAGAGAGAAGAGAGATAGAAAAGAGAGAAGAGACAGAAAAGAGAGAAGAGACAGAAAAGAGAGAATAAGAAGGTAAAGGAAAAAAGAGAACACACTTCAGTGTCAACCAGATTAGTAAATATTCCTTGCAAAAATGTACAAGAGGAGTAGCATGCAAATTTCCAATAAAAACTATTAAATCATGCTAGAAAGGATTCCAAGAAAACCCATATATTGAGGATGAAAAAGAACTGAAAAGAGAATTGCGAGTTCAGTGATTGAATGGAGAGGACATACAACAGGTGTATGCAGTATCCTTTATCAATACAATATTTTGTGATTTATTTATCCGTATCTGATGCAAAGTAAACTATCAAGAAGTCACTTCACCATGTAATTGACAGAACTACTGAGAACCAGGACAAAAGACTGGATCTATTGCAGTGATGAGCAACCTTCCTTGACTGTGGGCCACAAGTGAACCTATTAGGTTCCTGGTGGGCTGCATGTATTTTTTTTGCTACTGAATTACAGGCTTTATGCTTGCTGAGTACCAACATAATCCTAAGCTTGGCTTAGTAAACCAGGTACTAAAAAGTATATGCTAATGACATGCAAATAACTAATTTAAAGCTGTTTCTCACCTTTTTACTGAGCAAAATACCAAGCAAGCCACTTTCTCAGAGTGCAATGATATACTAAGTGCAGGTGTGCTCTACTCCTGATGGCAGATGAGAGGGGAAAAAATTCAGTGGGCAAACCCTGCGGGCTGCACAACAGGACCTCGCGGGCTGCAGGTTGCTCATCACTGGTCTATTGGGTTCATGTATGACTATAACTGCAATACTGCACCTATGACATTCTACTATGGAAAAGTGATTATTTGTAGGCAAGAATGAGGAGAAGGGGAAGGAGAAAGATGGGGTTATGAGGGAACATTGAGCTATCAAAAAAAGATTTTTAAAAAAAAGGGGGGGAGGTGGGGAGGTGACAGATTCAGCTGCTATCTATTACTCTGGCTATGTAAAAAGTAACAGCCTAATGTATTTCTCCAAAGAACTAACAATGGAAAAGAACAGCTGCTGCTACATTTTATTCAACATGCCTATGAGACAGAGTGGCATAAAAGTATACCTTCAGTCTGAATGTTAGCAGGTGTGCACAATTGGGTCACCTTCGTTATGATGGATATTCCTGAAATATAATGACAACTTCTAGAACTCAATTAGGATAATCAAACTCAATTCCAAGCATCATCACTGTCATTATCACTGTTGGCCACTTTCCTCTGTCATGTCAATATTCTAATTTAAAAAAAATCCTATTTAATATAATTACTACGCATTTACCTCTGTAGTGTTGGCAGTAGATAGAACAGGAAAGAGCAAAGCATGATTCAGACCTGCTCAACAGAGACAGATGAGACAAGATGGGAGAGAAATGGTGATAGGAGTAGCATGAAGTGTAAATGATAAAATAAAAATCTATGGAACCCTTCACAATGAGCATATTGAATGGGAGTTGGGGGAGGAAGCCATGTTTGAATGGTAATAATACAAATGGAGAAAAACTCTTGTGTGGAGGATGAAAGGAAGGGAAAAAAGAAAAAGACAGAGGGATGAAGAGAGAGGTGGAAAAAAAAAACCAGGAGGGAAAGTCCTACCTTCTGGCTCACGTGATATCACCGTGGCCGTCCGTTCAGCAGTTCCCATTTTACCCGAATACTCTGCACATATCAAGTGGATGAGATGGGAAACAGTCATCACCAGGAACTAGAGAATGTTTCCACACAACATATCCCTTCAAAAAGCAAACTCGAAAGTGCAAAACTGCAGGCTTGTGCAACATGGTCATCGTGCTCATTGTGGCTGTGAATCCTGTCGTCTTACATACAGATATAGCTGTCCTATCAGCATCTGCAACACATGTTGCACTTGCATCTACAAGTAGTTAGCATTACTACCATGTTCCTTTCTTGTGAATGCAACACATCCATGCATCAAAAAGAAAATAGCAAGAGAGGGAGTTGGAGTTAGTAAAAGTTTGCTTTCGACCATGCAACTTCAAAGAAACTGAATTTAATCCCCACCCTTCCCTTTCATACATCTGACTTGTCCTCCTCTCTTCTCTTTCCCACAAAGACATCTCCTCCCTTTCATTCAACTTCCCATAGATGCCTTTTCTTCCTTCCACATACTTTCCCTCTCTCATCATCCCTCTCACATAGATGCCTTCTCCCTTTCAACATCCCTCCCACATGGATGCCTTCTCTTCTACTCACCGGCAGCCTCCTCCAACTAGTTCCTCCCCTGCCCCACCCCCCACACTCCCTTCCCCCACAATGTCTTCTCTGAGTAAATTACATCCACTGGAATGCTTACCATCCCTCTCAGGAAAATTGTCATTGGAGAGAGTAACTGCAAATATGCAGTTTAAGTATGCATCAAAACTAATACCAGTATGAACTACCTGATACAAGGGGGATACCAGGGGAAACATCATTGGCTTTAAATACTTTGGGAAAAAAAAAAAGGGGGGGGGGATGCAGAATTGAAAATAAAAAGGAAAATGTCAAACAACTGACTTTTCCCTTTTTTTTTCAACTTTCTCACTGTCAATACCAACTTATGTATATTCATTTTCCATAGGACAGCAACAATTTTATGCTCAACCTTGGCACAGGAGGTTCAAAAATGCTTCTTGGTGTCCTTACCCATATCTTGAACCTTGCACCCTTGAACTTCACCATTTTCCAGCTTAACCCCTGATGATAATTGCATTCCTCAAGTGGCATAATTTTGTACCTGTTACATGCCAAATTTTCAATAGCATTAGCTAATACAAATGTTTAACATTGGCACCAGCATCAAATTAGGCAGGGCATGGATATATCCAGCCTCAGAGTAGAATGGAAACTCTTTTCCCAGTGCAATTAATATTCCCAAGCACAAACAACATGACTGAAGGTTTACCATTTGTGTAAAAATTAACTTGAATAAAACTTTTCATGATTAATTCTGCTGCAGAGCATGCAGAACACAGATAATTTATATTTCCTTGGCCTTTAATTATGAATGGTAACTCATTGTTAGAACTGAAGAAAGTAAAACATGGAATATCTCAATGACAAACAAATCTGTCAGAAGGCAGAATATTACTTTATTAACCCTCTGTTAGTCTTCCGGGGTTGAATGAGCCCCATGCAAAATAGAAAACAACTTCACTGATAAATGGGAGGACTAACTGAGGGTTAAATGAACAAAGCTGGATCCACTCCAAATCACACTCTGCACTTTGAAATGAGAAATATTAATTTCTTTCTGAATGTTTTCATAAGTTTGAATCACATCATGAATGTGAATCAAATATTTGTGAATTAAAAAAATAAAAGTTGAATGGAATCATTTGCATTCCAAAACAGATAAACAATTTTTTTTACAAAAACCTTTTCCTATAAACATAAAGCCCTATTTTAAAGTTTGGTCCTGAAACAATAGAAAATGCACTAGAACCACAGGCAGAAATGGTACATTATGGCAAAAGTGAGATATATGGAATCAATCATTTTTCATGATACCAATAGAGTTCAGCATGTGAAAATAAACAATGATACATAAGATGGACAAAAGATACAATATAAGTCTTTGTACCTTCAGTCACAGTCAAATTCCAAACTGAACTTGAATTGTTTATGTAAATCAATTTTGGAATTGTATCATTCTTTTGTAAGGAGTCTCAAATTGGATAGCTATTCAGATTCAACCATATCTGATTTTTAATGGTCAAAAGCTTTTTTGATATGCTCTGAATATGATTCACTACTAGTGGATGGCTATTGCAGTCATCCTTAACACTACCATGAATTTCACAGCATGCAGAGAATGGCTTGTAACGTCAAAGATGAATCTCCCTATATTGCATTAACACTGGTTTGATTCCATTTTCTCCAACTATAAATCTCTGCTGTGTCAATATTGGATGACATGGGCTGAATGTCCATTATTAATTTTAACTTCTTGGACAATTAAGGTTGTTCATGCAAAAATTTACATGATATCAGAATTCTCCTCTCCCACACTTCACTCACTCCAGTTGGTAGGAAAACCACAAACCATCAAAAGTATATCCTTTTTTTCTATAAAAATAATATATTTTCACTTTCTAATTTTCTTTTCCAAGGCTAAATATGGCTAAATTTGACAATTAATGCTAACTGGAATCTCAGCACCAGCACAAAACTACTTGTGGACTTTGATGTTACCAGAGTATTATCGTGCAGTGATTTTAAAAGTGCAAGTAACAATTATCCTTTCATGATCTCAATGAAAGAGAGCTCCTATTATCAATCTTAAAAAAAAGCCCAAACTTCTTCCTGCTTTTTATGTCTTGTACTTCCTGGGAAAGCATAAGAGTCATCCATGCCCTTGAAATAGAGAGCAGTGGTGCACAACCATTTCAGCTCAGGGGCCACATAGCTCACTCCCACAGCCATCATGGGCCATATGCAGTCACTAGTATCATAGGAAATTATTTTAACAAAACCCAAGGGTGTTTATTGTGGGTTAGGGCTTTGTGGGCCGTTTTCTGCCCACAGGCCATGGGTTGGACACTACTGGAATAGAGCATCTCATATCAATAAAAACCTACTCTCTTAAGCTTCAAGGTAGAGGAACTGACCCAGAATATTACAATAGAGCATGACATCTCATGTGATGTCTCATATTTCCTCCCTAATAACAGAAACAATGCTGGTCCATTTCATATTGAACTCAATCTCCAGGTTGCACACAGGGTAGGCATTCATTGCTAATAAGAGATTCAAATATTTCTGGCCATGATTAGAATTCATAGACTTAATAACTACCAGGAATATGGGAAGGTCATTTCCTATTCCTGGACCTTTGCTCACTTATATTAATGAAAAATAATATGCAGTGATGCCTGTTTATTTTTCAATAATCCTACTGGAATTTCAAACTAAGGTAACTCATATGACTGGTCTTGAAAAAGGATAAACCCTTGACTCTCTTGAAAATATTGATAACAGAAGTTACTAGTTGGTACAAGTTTTTGTAACTGCTGATTCCAGAGAATAGAAAAAGGAATAGAAATCAAGTGTGAGAAAGCATGAAAGTAACTCTCATTGCATGAAGATAGAGCAAGAGCACAGAGCTATTCCATGCTGTGCATTGAGGGAGTAAACCAGCTCCAAGATAATAATGATGAACCAGGAGCAATGAAGAAAAGGAGAAAGGCATGGGGGAATAGGACAATGACAGAGAGAAAGAATGAACCTTTGATGTCATCATCTTCTATGGTCGTACTGGAGTCAGTGCTTCCCTTCACCTGGGACTCCTCTCCCTTCTTGGCCACCATGCTCCGTCCTACAGTGCCAAAACTCTGTGCATTGACATGCACCATATCTTGATAAACTGAATATGTGCTTTGGGCCTTACCTGAGAAATTACGAGTTGCCAGCATCGTTGTCAGGATTGCTCCCTAGGAAAATTCCAAATTACCCATTAGGAATGTTTTTCATTCAAATTTGTGGAGATTTACTCTTTCCCAGACTGCCAAATGAGCAAATGTAGTCAGTCTCTAGTCCAAAGGCCTAAAACTGGAAGCCATTTCAGACATTTATATTTAAATATATTTGTCATAAGAAATTGCAATGTCAATTTTTTAAAATCAACCTGTTGAATGATGCTAAGCACGATGGGAACAAGAAGAGAAAAGAGCAAAGAGAGGAAACTCACTTTGAGCTTCCGTCTGGCATTGAACTTTTTCAAGCAGTCCACTGTCTCCTGCCTATGCACCATGGATGCTACCCGTTCCCGTTGCTGGAATTCAAGTAAAAATAAGCTTTTAAGAAATAAGGACAATTGGGTGAGTGGAGAGTAAAAGCACTGATGAGAGCAGCCATACGCATATCCAGGGATGCTTGAGGGCTTCGGAAGCATTGATACGCTTGGCAGGGTTCACAGTGAGCATCTGATTGATCAAATTCTTTGCCTCGGGTGTCACTGTATCCCATTCAGGGCTAGGGTACTGGAAACAAGGGCAGACACATATCCCATGAAAGGCACAAGGAGCAGCAATGAAAGTAAACAATGGATCAGTAAGGTCTATGGATGTAATTTGTATAAGATTTTCTAGAGCGAATAACCTCATACAAGATGCTCAAGTCATGATTCCCTATTTGTCTTCCCTCAACATGACATGTCACATGTGGATAAAAAGCAACATGAAACAGATAAGCATGAGCATCTATTCAATATGATTCCAGAGGTTCATTTGATGGGATATGAGAATTAGGCTTTTGCATTTATTCAGATCGTCAATTCCAAGAACAGTGGATCCACCCACTCTCACTAAGCAACTCTATTGGTGTCAATGTCAAAGAGAAAATCATTGGTGATGATGAGATGGTGAATGATGAAGTTTCACATGGAATTCACTACCAAAGGCTTACAACAAAAGTCAATGTTGCTTAAATTGTAATCAATCCTTATTTTTCTGCTATATTCTGGATACTAAAATTTAGGCATTCCATTTTAATTTTTCAATTTCTTCAAGCATTACTGTTAGTGGCTTTGGAAAAGGATTCATTTTCTAGATGAGATAGCACCCATTCAGCAGAAGGTCTGTCAGTCTTTCAATTTTAAATTGAATTTTTAAACTTTCAGGTTTGCTACAGTAATTATTCAATAGAAAGAGATCAGCATCAAATTCAGGGAAACGTAAACCAGCTAAATGGAACCCATGTGAAGAATATGTGATAAGGAACTCACATCATAGGCTCCAGCCTTGATTTGAGCATATAGTCTGTGTTGGTCTTCATCCCAGAATGGAGGGTAACCAACCAAGAGGATGTATAATATCACACCTGCACCAGAACAAGAAAAAACCATAGCAACATGGAAGACTATGTTGTGGCAGAACTCTCACATTTTGTTATAGCTTTATCCTACAGATGGAGTAGTTACAGAGATTCTTCAGCCTTCTAATACTTTCCCCTCCTGTTGATAGGAAATGAAATTGCTTGTATATCTTGAGTTGAAGTCTCATACATGAAATAAACAAATTCCTGACATCTCCCAGATTGACACAGACACATTCCTTATATTTTTTTATTGCTACACATTTATATATTTTACCTCCCCCAAGCATTTATGATGGAATGCCAGTTTTTTTGTCATTATGAGGGATGTTCAATGAGTAATGACTGCACCTCAAAAACTTCTTTATTTTTAAAAACTGAAACTTAAAATCTTCAGAGCTCTTCAACATAATCCCTGCCAACATGAACGAACTTTTTTGATCCTCCTGAGACATTTCTGATATCCCTCTTTATAGGCTTTTTGTTGTATTCCTTGAAGCACTCCATGTTCAGCTCTGCTAAGGTCATCAATCCAGTGCAACTGTCACACAGAGAGCTTTTCTTTGAGGATAGGAAACAGCCAGCTGTCTGGGGGGGCCAAATCAGGGGAATAGGTATGATAGGATAGGACTTTGACTTTATTTCTTGTCTCTTGTCTCTTAAGTCCTTTAAATCAGATACTAACCTTATGCTCATGCGAGCAATACTTTCCTTAATTCTGCTTCTAGCTTCAAAACAAAATTGAATGATACTGAATAAAGATAATTACTGACAATATATTAAACATAACAAAGACTGATTATGAGGGAGGAAGATGAAAGATGATGGACCTACCACATGCCCAAATATCTACAGGCTTTCCATATGCCTCCTTCTTGAGCACTTCTGGGGAGAGGTACCCTGGTGTCCCAGCAAAACCTGTAACAACAACAATAATAAAAACCTTGCACCAGTAGTACCTACATTCTATTTGAGCTGAGAGACAATCTGACTGAAACATACACCACTCTCTGCTAATATGCCAAAGCAATGAAAACAACACATTCTTGAATGCTACTGACAGATGCCAGTAAGTCATCAGGCCTACCAAGGAATATCAAGCCTTGGTTGACCCTTGCAGGCTTTAGGATTTTGCATAATGATGGTTTTTGCCCTTCACCAGAATCATCTTGCTCAAGTCTACATGGGAGTCTACTATTGATACTACTATTGTCTACTATGATGTGTAGAACAAGTAACTAAGCCCATGATGACATGCTCCTATGGCCCTGAATTAAGATCTTGCAGATGTCATATGATACATACAAATCTCAGGACTTGTAGGTCACACACATCAGCACACAATGGGGTCAATGGTTGTAAATTCAAGGGCTCTGATTGAAGGCCCACATTTCAAGAGATAAGGCAGAATAATAATAAAACACTTCATTCTCTTCCTCACAGTCTCTTCAAAATGTGCAAAATTTAAATTTTGTAATGCATTTGTGAAGGGAAATGTCTTTTTGTCCCGGAGTGCCTCACCCTTCCATGGATGTTTTTCCACATTTTCTAGGTCATTTTTAGGATAAGATCCCCAGACCAGAATTTTCCTTTTTAAAGCATGTCCATTCATTAAAAACTCCCTTAACTATCTTTTCTAGCAATATTTGGTGGAATCCTTCCACATTCCCTTAACTTTAATCAAGCAGTCTCCCTCACTATTAACTTACTTTTTTTTTTTGCCAAACCCTCTAGTAGAAGGGCAGTCAAAAATGTTCTCACACTTTTATCAATGGATGGCAAATGCAGATTTTACCTCAAAGTTTTCCATGTGATACATGGAAAGGTAATGCTCATAGGTAATGCTCATATGTCTGACTAGTCTTGTCATGTTGCAGAAGTGGTAAGATTGATGCAAGTTTTGTGTTACAACGAAAAATAATGAAAAAGGCCAATCATAGGTCAACCATGTCAATGTTTGATCAATCAATAAATGTCAACTGTGTCTGCAGAATGATTGTGAAGAACGTAAAATGGCTGTAATTGTTTAATGGCCAGCAATCGGATAATCAACACACATTGGCTGCCGTGAGGATCGTAGGTGATACTCAAAAGTTGCATGATGTCAGGTCATGAGTATCACCATGGCAGCTAATGTGTTAAGAGCAGCCATCTATTGGCCATTACAACAGCCTCAACTTCTGCTTATGCATACTGTGGCATCTGAAATTGGTGAATGGCATCCAATGATGGCCACCTTTCTCCTGGACACTATTCAGAGGAAAAATTTACACATTTGGGATGGCACAGCACATTTATAACATTGGAAAACATAGCAGTTGTTGTGGCCATTGTAATGCCCAATGGTTTGCCATCATTTTAATGTTGATAACTAAGTTGCAGACAGTTTCACAACAAGGAAAACATTCATCATAAACAGTCAACACCTGCAAATAACAGGAGTAGCCACCTCTTCACACAAAAGCCATAAATTCCCATGTTAACCATGTCTGTCACTTCTTGTGACTGTCCACTGGTATGTATATCTTGTCTCTCTTCCCATGCTTGCAACAAACAATATTAGTCTGAATAATCTGCAGAGCTAATATTTGACAAGAGGCATGACCTTATTTATTGGACCTTTTTTGACCTTACTACATGAAGAATTTCAAAGCCAAATCTGCATTTTCACACCACCTATTAATGAACTTAATTGACCACACCTTGTATTTATATGTAAATGCAATGCTCCATCAAAAACACTTCCAAAAGGATCTCACTTATGTGATATCATTGGACTCAAAACTCACCAAACCATGCAGTCTGGTCTCCCTGAACTTCGATGGCCAAGCCAAAATCTGCTAGTTTCACAGCAGCTCCCTTTGCCTTGCTTGCAAGCAACAAGTTTTCCGGCTGCAATGTGAGCAACAGGTGTGGAAAAAAAGTAGAATTCAAGGCAGAGATAGCAAAATGTATACCTCAATAAGAATGTGGGCAAGGCTGGAGGAACAAATGGTTAATATGATGTTGATACAATATAAGTCATATCACCCATTTGGCAAGATGATTCATATCATAATTTCACTATTTTTAAGGGAAATGTGAGAACTTAATAACTTATGAATATCCACCAGTTTTACTTTTTATGATCAAACTCTAGATTATTTGTAATTCACTTCCTTAGCAGTTTCCCTGATTTTTCCCAATGGGATGAGTGCGTATTCATTGCAAATAAGTGTTTCGGATCCATTTTCAATAGTCGACGCACCATATAACGAACCTCTATATAACGAATTTTCTTTACTGCGAATCTTTTTTCCAGTTCCCGGCCGTTTTCCCATTCACATGCATGTTGAAAAGTTACTGTATAACGAAGTTCTGTATAACGAATTGTTCGGTTTTACGAAGTCGTTTTTTCGGCCGAAGGAACAAAACTGTTCCGTATTACGAAGTTAAAATCTGCTGCACGTGTCAGAGCTACTTTCTTCCGCGCATTCCTCGAAATTCTGAACTCGTATCTGAATTTAGCATGTCCTACATATTTGTTGGCGTGGCCGTGGTAAGGAAACGACGTCAATCAGTCTTAATTTTCCCAGGATCTCAAGGATCAGGGTCAGGCTTAGTCTAGAATTCTGCTTGGTCAAGCAATCGAAGCCTTCAACTATCCCCGGCTATTTTTCGGTCAGGCAGAATGTTGAGCATGAAACGTTTGAACATCGAGTTATCTGCAGATCATGGCTCAAAGAATCCTCCAGGGAAAGGGCCGATGACCAGTTGGGACTTTGTTTCCTTTCAATAGAGAGCGTCGTTGACTCGTCCGATTTTATTACACGTAATTTAGGTACCCATTTAGGTACATACAGGGTGGGCCAAAAAAAACTTCGGTTATCTTCATCACCCCACAGCACTAGTCCCCAAAAGTTTGCTAAAACTGCAATAGCGCCTCCGTATAAAACGTTCATTCAGCTTTCCAATGATCTCAACAGAATAAAGATTCGTGACATGACTTTCATGCAATTAGATGAAGAGTATAAGAGGTGGCGCTAGAAATGTTGGTGCCATGCCGCAATGGCAGCTAGTACATGCAAGAGGTCGCCTACTCGCCATAAGCGAAGGAATGGACGTCACCTGGAGCACATCTTATAGGGTACTGGTAAGTGCACTTTTCAAGCGCTACCTCTGTTACACTGCGCAACTGTATCGGAATAACGGATTGGATTTGAAATATTTTTACATCAATGAAAAGCTAGATAAATGTTCTATGCATAGACGTTATATAAATATTTTCAAACTCTCGAGAAACTACGTTATTAAGCGTTAAAGATAACCAAAGTTTTCTTTTTGGCCTACCCTGTACGTAACCCTTGAGAACTAGATTTCTGCAATATTTCATGCGCTTAGACCCTCGCACTCATTTTATGAATGGACAACGACTGGCCTGACAACACCACCTGGTGGCTGGCCGCGGATCCACCCAACCCCTTGAACCTTCTTCCCCTAACAATAGCAAGACTGAACTTCCACTGCAAACAACCATCATTTCTATTCACCTATTTGTATATCTCACCACTTCTTACCTCATATCCTTCTTTTGTAAAGGGCATGTCTTGTAAATAAAGGTCATTGAACCAAAGAACCTTGCTTTTAACATTAAGTGACATTTTGCAGTGATACTGACATAAGTTTAACAGATTTCTCTTTATTTTTTTTCCAGCGAAATGAGAGAAATTCCTTATAACGAATTTTCCATACAACGAATTTTTTTTTATCCCGTCCCTTCGAGTTCATTATATGGAGCGTCGACTGTAAGTTGATCTTTGGGTAGGTGGTCGCCACATAGGTGATCCCTATGTGGCGAGGGAAAAGGTAAATCTCTCGTTACGGTATGTTTTATTCCTCTCTCAGCTGCATTGATAAAACAAGATACTTAGCCACTTTTGCAAAAAAAATAATTCAATTTGTCAAAGCAAGATACTGCATATTCTAATAATTCACTTTCTTCAAGTGGCTGAATATAGTCGTGTGATATGTCTGGAAATGTCTTTCAGAGCAATATGCGGTGTCTTGAGTAAGTTGCAGACTTATGCAAGTGAATTAATCATCATGAGAATCAAAATGTTGCTCAATTTCAACGTCCCTAAGCATTCGGGAGCGAAACGAGTAATGCAAAGAAAATCAGCAAGTCGACAAGCTGAGCCAAAAGCATCGCATACTTCTCTAAAAAAAAACTTTCTGATATATCACTCGACAATATTCAGCAACTTGAATAAGTGAATTTATTAGAATCTGCAGGATTTATAAATGAAATATATATTTATTCTGAAAAAGGCACAGCAAATCCTACATCGCTGGAAAGATTTATGGGTTCACCTTTCTAAGGACTCCACCCTTGATATTGTTAGTGCTCCGCCACATCGAAAAAAAACTCTACCAAAGATTACTAAAAATGAAAAAGTTCCAGTTTTGGGGTGAAATTTTCTCTATGTAGCGGACAAAAATTAAAACAGGTATCTTGCTTTTCCAACGCACGTGAGAGTGAAGTGCAACTTACCGTAAGGAAAGATTTGTCTTTTTCCTCGCCACATGTGGATGTTTGGGGGCGAAAATTGTTTAAATTTCACATTTTCAAACTCAGCTATGATGCTGAAATCTCATTCAAACTTCAATGATGTATGGAGCGTATTGTTCAGCTATTAAAGACCTCCGGTTGAAGCTATTACACGCCTCCGTGCGATGAACCGTTTCTGTGAATTAAATTTTGCCGTCAATGGGTTTTGCCGTTTTCCCCTAAAGTTCGAGGGCGATATTACGCTAACCGCAGATCCTATAAGGACGATTTCTTTTACGGGGTTGTTAGACTGACCGCAGTCGCTTAGAATGTTGATCCCGAATTCCGAGAGGGTCGGACGGCATTTTATGTCTAAATTGGTTGAGTTCGTATGGAATGACCCATCAGTATAACTACACTTTCTGCAGACCCGGTTATCCGAAGAATGCGATTCACACCTTCGGTTCCCATCTAGATCAGTTGGGAAAGTCAAAGCTGCGATGAGTCACGAGGTCTTTGCGTCTCCACCCTGCTGTCAACCAGTGAGTCAGTGTCCGTGAACCTCGCCGTCAACCACGGCTACAATCTCATGTTATTGAAATTTTGCGGAGCTTTGCTGAGATCACGTCTGGTTTGGAACAGGAGACTTTCGACGCAATCGCGCATTTGGAAAAAATCGTCAAACAAGATGCCGCGAAAACAAGGCAAACTCTTTTATCTGACTTTTTCAAGCGATTATGATTAAATGAATAAGTGTTACACGTTTTGCCATACTGTATATATTTACGAACAATTTTTTAGTGCATAGAATCTAATAAACCTCCATAACTCGAATTACCCTTGAACTTCGAGTTATCGAGAGTTGACTGTAGCTTTTTGTCTTTCAAGGAAGAAAGCTTGCTAGAAACAGGCTTAGTTTGAAGTGCCGCTCACAATTTGACTGCACCAAAAATTCTAATTAAAATTTACTTACACAACAGAAAATTATTCAGCATTAATTGAGCATGATAAAAAAAATATATATATATGATATAATGAATGCTGGATCAGAAGTTTCTATTTCAATGACAGTATCAGGGGGGTAAGGCCGCCCCCCCTATGGCCAGGTTAGCATTTGATTTATTTATTCAAAATAGCATCTGCATTAAATTTTTATTGGAGCCAATGAAATAGATACTTAAGTTCTTCCCCCAGACGAAAAATAAAAAAGGCGAAAGGACGAGGAATGGTGGTAGGCAGGGGGGGGGGGTAGGTAGAAATTTGGGAACCGCCCCCCCTATGAAAAATTTCTGTATCCGCCCCTGGTATCAGGGCTATGCACAAATAAAATTTGGGTATATTCCAATATTACAGTAAGTCTTCTTTCTGCAGGAAAAGGGTATTCATTGAAGATCTAGATGGTGCAGAAGGTGAATGTCTCTAAATGCACAAAAAGACAGTAAGACAGGAATATCAAGGGGTCTTCTTTTCAGAGAGGCTGCTAAAAGATCGAAGAAAATGAAGACTCATCTACTGGTACATCCAATTACGTTCTGACACTACAAAATATTCCATTTCAACTGATAAAATATGAGCAGCTCTACTTGAAAAGAGTTGAAGCCTGTCTATCACAGAAGAAGGCTCACTGAAAGATTGAGATTGCCCTGTAGAATCTACTTGATGCATTGATTGGTTTAAAGTACTTCATTGTAGATCCACCACTTGAGCAGAGTTTACAAGTGACAACTAGCGTAGAGGCAGCATTGGGAAAGCAATGAAGATGTCCTGAAATGATCCTGGGGAATTAAGATTGACATATCAAAGAGCCAATTATACTGTATGGCATACACATCTAAAGTCAGGGACCAGGGAATTGGCTTCATTGCAACGGATGCGTTCCACGTCAGTTGTCCCATTTCTTTTATCCTTCCTCTGCTGCTCCACAAATCATGACCAACAAATTGCCATTACATATTATACAGTCAAGATCATCTTCAACTATTTCGCTCCCCCTCCATCCTAAATTATTCCCTCGATGCAAGTCTTGCATTCAGTTTCAGATTCCATCATTCCCATCAGATTTTCTGCTTCTTTGAACTGTCAGGCAAAAGTGGCAGAGAATATAAAGGAGGCATTGAAAACGGAGTGATGGAAGCCTGAGTGCTGCAGCCAACTGTCACACGGTCAACATCAATGTTTGTTCTCTTCCCTTGAATGAAAGAGATAGTCAGTATCTGTGAACTCCAAATCCTCCAAGCTTCTATACCGCTAACATCTCGTCTGGAATCAATTTGAGGGTATAATACAGTATGCGATGCAATTTACTTACAGTTCTAGGACAAGCCACATCTAGGAGCAGGAATTCATTAGTTCCAGTCCGACAGTT